GGTGGGTCTTTTTGTTGTGCTTTTATTTTTATGTGTTGTGTTGCTGCGATGAGGAGTTTATGTGTGGCCATTTGAGGGTACAAACTTATCTACGGTGGCGAGATTTGGTCCAAAAATTTTCTATGTTCTGAGAACTTATATCAACATAGCACAATAATATCAAAAGTAATTGCAGTATCAACATCACACAATAATATCAAAGACATGGCAAATAAAAAGATAAATAAATCCCGCAGGCTGGATTTTTATTTTTGCTAAGATGAGGGGCGGATGAAAACAAGCAGGAATTGAGAAAGAACAAACATGGTTTTTTGTTTTTTATTTTTCCTAGCTGTACGTTTAGAGAGAGAACAATGTTTTTTGTTTTTTTTTTTAATTTATCTTGAAGGGTTCTACAAATTGGGAGCACCAGAAAAAGGTGATAAATTTCTTTGTCTGTTGAAATTTTGATTGCATGTGGTGATACATACATACATGGGATCTCTAGCGATTTGAAAATTTCTGTTGGAAAAAATCATTTCTTTTTTAGTTGTTAGTTTTTTGTTCTTTTTCATAATCCATGTGATAAAAAAATCCTATTTAGAAATTATTTTCTCGGATTTTTTAATTCACCTTGGCTCGCCCTTCAATTGAAGTGTTTTGTTCTGTATATTAATTATTTCTGCAAATTGCTTGGTTCTCTATGTTAAATTTGATTACCACTATTTTGATAGGCAATGTTCAAGGGAGAAAGAAAAAGACCCTAACTAACGCTGAACGTTGGGCAGTTTACCATGCTTTGTTGGAGAAAAGTGTAAATGGTAAATTGAAAAAGAATACAACAAAAGAAGTGAAAGATATGTTCAATATCGATGAGCTGCGAACAGTTCAAAGAATATGGAAAATTCACAAAAGAACTCCACCAGGCTCAGATGTGGATGTTTCATCGAGAAAGGCACGAAACTGTGGTCGCAAACGAATTGAGGTGGATTTGAATAGAATTCAAGAGATAGAGTGGCATCAACGAACAACACTTACATCTCTTTCTAATGCTTTAGGAGTTAGTTGTTCCAAATTGCACAGCCTTTTTAAGCGAGGCGTTCTACGCCGTCACTCAAGTGCCATCAAACCACATTTGAAAGACGAAAACAGAATATCACGACTAGAGTTCTGTTTATCGATGCTTGATGAAAGCACAACGTCGAACGAGCCAAAGTTTAAGGGAATGTATAACTATGTGCACATCGACGAGAAATGGTTTTACATGACAAAGAAGGAGCAAACGTATTACCTGCTCGAGAATGAAGAAGATCCTCACCGTTCATGCCAAAGTTAAAATAACATTGCAAAAGTTATGTTTCTAGCAGCCACGGCTCGTCCTAGATTTGATGGTGAAGGAAGGGTAGTATTTTCAGGCAAAGTTGGATGTTGGGCGTTTGTGACAGAGCAACCAGCCCAAAGAAACAGCAGGAACAGGCAAGCTGGCACGATGGAGATGAAGGCGATCACATCTGTTAAAAGAGTGAATGTGAAAGCGTTTTTAATTGAAAAAGTTATCCCAGCTATTACTGAGAAATGGCCTAGCTCCGGAGAAACTATTTATGTCCAACAAGACAATGCTAGGACACACGTCCTTCCTAATGACCCTGATTTTGTAGCAGCAGCTTCACAAAATGGCTTTGACATTCGATTAATTTGCCAACCCCCTAATTCTCCAAATTTGAATATACTTGACCTTGGGTATTTTAGGCTATACAGTCGCTACAACAAAAAATTTGTGCAAGGAATATCCATGAGCTTGTAAGTGCAGTAGAGAATGCATTCTCTGACTATTCACCCATCAAGCTCAATTGTGTGTGGCTGACATTGCAATTATGTATGAAAGAGATCATGAAATTAGGAGGGGGAAATCGATATAAAATTCCTCACATAAACAAAAAACGACTTCAAAGACTAGGTGAACTTCCTACACAAATTTCATGTGAGTCTACCTTAGTGCAAGCTACTAGAGACTTGTTAGCAGCACGACTAGGTAAATCAATGTTAGCATTTGCTCCTCGCCTTCATATATTCACTATTATTGATAATATTTTCATTTTCTTGTAGGGAACCGTTCGATTGGAGGTGGATTGGAAGAGCTTTAGTCGTGTTTGGTATTTAAAAACTGTAATTTTCTTTGAGGATGGTCAGTTTTGGGGAAGTTTTCTAAGGCATAGTTTGGTGATGCTTGTTGTTATTATTAGTGATAATTGAATGCTTGTTGTTATTGTGAGTTTTGAGCTTTAGATGTCTTTGATGCTTATTCTTTGAGGATGTATGACGAATCAAATGGCAAGAAATTTATATGTTTCCTATTATGTTCTTTAAAAAAATTGCTTTAGCTTTTGCAATTTCTGTCTCCGTTTAACGGTTTTATATCATTGGTTGGTTTGTGTATTTTTCTTCGAGTGCTTACAGAGGACATCTTTTCTTCGACCACGAGTACTGGGACCTTCTAGCTTTTCCACCCCGATTACTAACTGAAATCTTCTTTTCTTTCTTCGATCGGAATACGAATG